AGTTCCACTCAGAGAAGACCCAATGAAATTAATCTACATGACTAAGTTAGGTTCATTAATTTCAATGGATCAACTCAGCAATTCTCCTTTCATTTATTGAAAGAAGTGCAAAAGCTCAGAACACTATACTCTCTCTCACTCTCCATGGTGCAGTATGCAAGGATTTAATTTTTAATTTTAAATCACATTGAGAATTGGGGGCAAAGAGAAGAAAGCAAGCTGAAAAACACAGACCAGCTAGGCCCATGTATAATATTCACCAGTTTCTTTGAGCTGTCAATTTATTTATTTTTTCAGGTTGCGCAATATGAGCCTTGGAGCTATTTTGCACGTGGGGAAAAGTTAGTTTCACACCAAATGTGTATTAAATAGGAAAAAGCAGCCAACCACAGCTTCCCAAAGTGTGTGCCTTTTACCCTTTGTTCTCTTTGTTTTGTTTGATGTTTAGGAAAATGAGTGCAATCATAACTAAAAGCTAATTGAACAGTGACGTTACAATACAGAAAGAATATGCTACTTTTAGGCAAAAGGAAATATGTCGCATTAAAACAAAAAACAAAGAAACCGGAGAGGAAACACTATTATTCCCGAGATGGCTGAGCAGTTCACGAATTCTGAAGACTGATCAATTAGCACTTAGGAAAATCTTCCCATTTGCCAGTTGGTGCTCAGGCTTGCCTCTTAATTAGCCCTTCCAAGCAGGCATATTTCCACGACATTGGGGGTAATGGACAATGAAATATCCTTGTCCTCCCCCAGCTCCACAGATGCTTCCCCTCCAAACTTCTCCAGGAAAGACTTGGCCAATTTGCCACGATCATTTCCATAAATCTCATTTACACTCTGTGCTCACAGGTCCCATCGCTCTCCTCCTGCCCACTTATGGTATCCCTTCACTGCCCATGCTTAGGTGAGGCAAGACAGCTATAAAACCATAAATGAGTTTTCCCGTGAAATAACAGACCAAACAGGTAATTACAGGTTACTAATGAATCCAAAAGAGCTTGCATTGAAAAAGAGAAATCTGTGCGCAGTTACTTACCTGTAGTAGGCAGGGTGCCAGCCATGTTTACTGTACCATCTTGGCAGCCATCTGTATTTTCCAGCTACTGCTGACCTTTCTACAACTTCTAAACCTCATTTCCCAGCTGTTCCTACATAAGCAGGATAGCTAAGAACGAAGCAATAATTAAACGCTTCTGATGCCAAGACGATATGCAAATTAAGACCATATCTAAGGTCCTAGCCAACGAGATGCTGGTATCTTTGAATAATGAGTCAGTGGTAGCACTTTCGTGTTTAATCTTTCACACAGCCTTTGACATTTGGCTGTAAAAAAGTGCTGTGTATTTTTTTAAGGGTAAGTGAACAAAGCATTTATGGATGGTGATGTGTAAGACATAAATAAACCACTACCATAAAGCTGTGTAAGGTACTTTTTTTAGCCAAGTGAGTTGGGTGTTCTTTTTTTATAATTAATTCTTATTGCTTTTTAAAATATACAAAAAACACAACTATAGCAACATATACAGACAACGTAAACTATCAGCAAATCAGAATGGGCATTTTATTAGAGACACATAACATAAAGAAAAAGAAAAACCATGCTAAGTAAAAGGAAGGAAGGAAGGAATTCCAAGTTTATCACATTTTGTTGGGGGAGTCCTTTGATGTTCTTTTTTCTCTAATAAACTAATAAAAATCATACCACCCTACAATATTACCTTTCTTCAATTTTCCACTGAGCACTCTTTAAGTTTCTGAATTAGTTTCTCTACTAGACCTTATGATACTGGCAGTGTTAGAAGCGTAGATAGAAAAGCTAGGAGCCAAATGGCTTCTGGGACCCGAGTTGTGGGCACCAAAACAGAATCTTTAGTCGCCACATTTTGTGGAGGTTGGCAACACTTTTTATTTATTACTTTTATAAGCATGAACTAATACACAATTCACATAAGAGACACATTGTTAAAACCACATTTTTATCAGAAATTGTTAATACATGTTTAATTTGGTGTTTACAATAAAAAACATCAGTCCCGTACTTCGGTTTGAAAACACGCTACTCTTTATTGTTAAACTTCTTAACATGTTGTCTATCTTTAACATATACAGTGGTACCTCCGGTTACAGACACTTCAGGTTACAGACGCTTCAGGTTACAGACTCCGCTAACCCAGAAATAGTACCTCGGGTTAAGAACTTCACCTCAGGATGAGAACAGAAATTGTGTGGTGGCGGCGCGGCAGCAGCAGGAGGCCCCATTAGCTAAAGTGGTACCTCAGGTTAAGAACAATTTCAGGTTAAGAACGGACCTCCGGAAGGAATTAAGTTCTTAACCTGAGGTACCACTGTACTTTGAGGCTTCAAAGCACATACATTTCAATAATCCTTGAGTGTTGGCCAGGCGCGAAAAATGGCACCCAGACTTTTTGAGGTGCTCACAAATGGAGAATCTTTAGACGCAAAATGCGCCTTGCGCCCTGCTAATTTTGATCCCTGGATACAGGCATTCAGTTGTAACACCTTTCATGTACTGCCAATATATTGCTACTTTGAGACGTGTCACCAGCAAGAGATGCACACTTGCTTTTAATTGGTTTCCTGCATGAGCAGGGGGCTGAACTGGATGGTATTTGAGGTCTCTTTCAATGCTATGATTCTATTGTCAGCAAGGCAGTTACTATGCCCTTTGGTTTCTGTGAAGCCTTCTAGCAGTGTTGGTTAAAAGGATAATGAAACCTGCATTTCACCCTGAAAGCTATTAGAATTCTCATTGCACCATTAAAAATAAGAGTGAAAAATATAGGTATAAAACTGGACCAACCACTTATTCATAATATGTAAAAGTCAAATAAGGAGAAGTGTTTGCTTTTTGAACTCTGTCAGCAACCCTCCCTACTGGTTCTTCTGATTAATGCAGTAGACCCAGAAGTAGCCTTCAACTCTCACAAAGACACACAAGACCTCAAAAATAGCAGTTTTAATTAAATTATGACCTGGAGAAAAACCAAGCAGAAGCAGAAGCTGTGAACAGGCATGTCATTCCACATATTTTATTCAAGGCAAAGCTGGTGGCTCTGTTCTAGCTGCTCAGTTGCACATCTACATTTTGCAACAAGAGTCCACTGCCAGAGGATAGTAGACCAAGTATCCAAAGCAAGACTAAAGGTTATTTAAACACTCACAACTATAGCTGCAAAAGGGTCGCCAACATGATGCCTGCTGGTGCCAGTGTGCCCACAAGCACCTCCTATGGCACCTGCAGGCCATTTCAGCAAATATCGCCCCAAAAATCAACAATGCATGGGAAACTTGTGTGTTCTTCCTGGTCAGTCTCTCTTTGCACTGGCTCTGACTCTCCTACGTTTAATGCACTGCTTTAAGCAAGTCCACATTTAATTACAGGTCAGGACTGAACACTCATATTCCCTTCCATTTTGAATACAAGAGATGAGGGAAAGAACCTCTCTCTGTAAGTGGCTAATATGTGTGCCTTTTGTTTTCTTGGGGGGGGGGGACTGAAGGGGCAGGCATGCCGGCACCATTTTGTGTTCTTGAATCCTTTTCTGTTATTTTAGATGTGGCAGCCATTTTGTGTTATGTCACCCCCGAACACAAATCAGCGTTTTTGTTACTGGCACCCTTGGACCTCCCTCAAAAGTCCAAATGCGATTAGTAATCTGCAGGAAATAAATGTGTTCGGCTGAATCAGATGTACCAGATTCTTAATGAAGGAAGAACTCTGAAGGAACTGCCTTTGCTGGTTGTAATTAACTAGTTTTACACTTGAAATCATACATGAGTTTCAACACTGTATAATGAAAAGAGTTTGACTTGAGTACCATTTTCAAAACGCAACTTAAAATCACATAATCCGCCTTTGGTCTTAAGAAAGTACCTTCTTTTGCTACCATGGTTCACTTTACGTAAAATGGGAACAACAGCAGTCTACCTCAAAGCAGTGTTGTCAGAACATAAAATGATGATGGCTGTAACACACCTGATCCATTAAGGTTTCAATCCCATGCATACTGGGAGCAAACCAATTAAACAAATAGGGTCCTACTTCTGAGTAAATATGCACAGGACCGGGCTGCATAATTGGTATAAAAAGTGCTACAGAGAGAGCCACTCCTTGGTGTAGGAGTTAGGGCTTCCCACTCAGCCATGAATGTCGCCACCATCATGGTCTGCCAGTCTCACCTAACTTGGAGGGTTATTGTATGGCTAAAATGGAAGCGGACCACATATGCTGCCCTGAACTCTTTGCAGACAAGTCAGAATAAAAACATCAATAATGCTAAGCAACATTTTGCCACATTTGCATCCAACATTACCATACCACAACCCCTAGCAAGGTGAGAATGCTCAGTGTACAAATCTAGCAGTCAATGAGTCTAGAGGTTACCATACAAACAGCAGAAAGGCACATCATTACACCCCATATTGGCCCCCGTCAACAAATCTTCACTGGATTTGGCAGCTAGCATTCTTGCTGTGGCCCCCCAGCCCACTTCCGGAGGGGACAGGGCCCTCTGACATTATGCGGAGCTTGAAATTCAGGACAATTGTGAAGAAGGGCAGGAGTTCAAACCCACCTTGCTAAGCTTCAAACTACCAGGAAGCAGCAAGAAGTCTAATAGCTTTCCAAGTTTCTGTAACGCTTACTGCAGCATCAGAGAGGGTCCCTGCCATTCTCCCATGCTTCTAAAGTCAATGTGGCATCATGGAGAATCCTCACACTTCTCCAGGTGCATAAGAACAGTGAGGGCTTTTCCTGTTCCTATTTTCTCATCAGAGTAAAAGGTTTACTCTCCAGGGCTGAGCTGGTTAATGCATTTATGGATCCTTGGTCACCTATTGATTGGTGATCTGCAATATAATTACAAGTAACACCTAACTGTCCCCAACCAACAGCTTGACACAAATAATATATTCAATAGCCTTGATTTCTTTATCTCATAAATCAAAGTTTGGAAACCAAAAAGGTTGCTTACTTGTAAAGATAATACTCAGCTTGATCCACTTGTTCACGTGAAGTAATGTTGTCTATAAACTGAAGGAGAAAAAGATGATCAGCCCAGAGTGCAGAATGGTGCAAACCTAACTAGTTTTGTGAATGGTTCAACAAGTGTTACAATTTGCAACTGAAGAACATTACAGTTCCAATCGCTTGCCAGGTAAATGGAACATCATATGATTGTACTGAACACAGTCAATTACAATTGGGACATAGAGCAAGCCATTTATAAACCAGTTGTAACTGGGCTACTCAATTCTATTCCCCATTTCACCTGTTTTCCTGCCCCCACCTTGCAACTGTCAGTCAGCAATCCTTGGCCTCTGAGGCTCACTCAATCCTCAATGGCCTGTTTCTGGGCTTCACCTCTCTTAGCCCTCCCCCACAAAATATTTGCACTTCTACAAACTTTGGGGTTCCCCCAAATCTGCTAATGCCTCTATCTTGTGCAGTGCAGAACAGTTGTCATGCAACGGCACAGATGTCTGAGCATCAGAAATAGAGGGAACGACTCCACATTATTTATGTAGTTGTTAAATTTATATGGCTGCCCACCTATGCTTTTTTAAGATTATACATTTATGAAGATATGCTCGAAATACACAGTAATACTGAAAGGGAACAATGGCTGGCAAAATCTTGGGAGATGACGCATGAGTAGGACATCCAGTGACCATCGGGTGGGGCTCCAATATATTGCATAGTTCCTTCAACCTTTCTTCAAGCAAAAGCAAAAAACAAATTATGTAAAACAGTTGAAGTATGCAAAACTTTCTTAATTTGCATAATCTATGCAGCTCACAGGACTCCACATTTTTTGGTAATGTCACAGAATTTTTTTTCTTTTTTCAAAAAATGCAAAGTGCATGTAGCGCCATCAGAAAGCATCATTATCAAGTCTACCTTTCTTGTTTTCATTTATCATTTCCTTCAGAAACCCCAGGTCGTTCCCCATTTCTAGGACATAATGAAACATGAAATGCTGGGAAGCCTAGGAGGGAGCACAGCAGGACTTCATCAAAGGGAATGGAAGCTCCTGAGAGAACTCCTGAACAACAACAACTACTACTAATTAATAATGATGATGATGATGATTTGTTAAATTCGTTAGTCACTTTATGTTGCCCAAGGCAACCCAAAGCAACTTACAACCAAACTTCTAAGCTGTAGTAGGTGTAGCTTCTCCTATCACTACAGCACCGTGATGGGAAAAGTCCTATATGGTGAAATCTTACTGGGCTGGTGGATCCCTATTTTCCAGTATCTGTCAGGGGCAGGGAAAGAGCTACCCACTCTTAAGTCCTTGGATGTCACTGAAGAGCAATCATCCATTCTCTCGAGTTTGGGGATTAAGGACACATGTCCAGTTCCACATGAATGCAGTATATTGAGCTATGTATAATTATCGGTGAACTGGAAGAAGCCAAATGGAAGCAGCTGCTTTCTCTTTGATGTGGTACCGGAATTGGAGAAGAACACCCAATTAAATGAACAAACAGCATGTGCTGCTCTGGTTTTAAATGAAATGCTTTTTTCACAACACACTTAGCTGACCTATGGAACTTTCTTCCACCAGCTTTAGTTATGGCCAACAACATAAGCCATATTTAAAAGGGGGATAGAGCAAACATATTAATATAGTTCATTTTTCCTCCATGAAGAAAAAGCACAGCTGTCAGTAGAGCAATTTCATTTTCAGAAGGACCCCGTTTCAATCAACTGAGTCTCAGGTGAAAAGAATCAGGAAGCATACAATGTGCAAGGTTCTGCCTGTGACCCTGTGAAAAGTCACTGCCAAACACAGAATAGATCAGAAACAGGAAACTGATAGCTCCCAAGATCTTTGCAGACTACAACTCCCATCATCCATGACCACTGGTTATCTGGCTGTGGCTGATGGGAGTTTGAATCCAAAATAAAGTAGACAATCCTGGCCAAGCTGGATAAACAGCCTGACCCTGATACAAGGCTGTGTTCCTATCATATAATATCACAGGTTGCCTATTTTAAGATATTCTACAATTTATCTGGACACTTTTCAAGCCAGGTTCGGACCCAGGTATAGCATCCAAACTGATCTTTGTAGGGAGAGGTATGGGGGGGACGATAGTTGATTCTCTTTGAGGGGCCCTGAACTGCAGTGGTTTCATTTCTATATATGAAACCATAGCAATGGGAAACTATTACTTGACAGCATGTGAGTTAACTTGCGGTGCCCACAGGGGTCGATTTTGTCCCCCATGTTATTCAACATCTACATGAAGCTGTTGGGAATGTCATCAGGGGTTTTGGGATCCCACTGATGACACACTACTTTATCTCTCAATGCCATGTGAATCAGGAGAGGCGGTTGAGATGCTGGGCTGCTGCCTTGAGGTGGTAATGGGCAGAGTGTGGGCCATTAAACTGAAACTGAATGCAGACAAGCTGGAGGTGCTGAGTGTTGTGGGCTCCAGGGTCCAGGAAGTGAGCAGACAACCTTTTCTTGACAGGGTGTACTCCCCTGGAGTGAACAGGTCCATAGTTTGAGTTGGGGGTGCACCTTGAACCAAAAATTGTCTTTTCATCTGACCTCATCATTGTATAGATTTCAAAAAAAGGTCAAGATGCACATTTTTGTCCAGGCCTTTGTGGGTGGAGGACGAGACCAGAATACCCTTCCCATTTCAGTGCTGTAGTTCATAGAATCATAGAATCATAGAATCATAGAGTTGGAAGAGACCACAAGGGCCATCGAGTCCAACCCCCTGCCAAGCAGGAAACACCATCAGAGCACTCCTGACATATGGTTGTCAAGCCTCTGCTTAAAGACCTCCAAAGAAGGAGACTCCACCACACTCCTTGGCAGCAAATTCCACTGTCGAACAGCTCTTACTGTCAGGAAGTTCTTCCTAATGTTTAGGTGGAATCTTCTTTCTTGTAGTTTGGATCCATTGCTCCGTGTCCGCTTCTCTGGAGCAGCAGAAAACAGCCTTTCTCCCTCCTCTATGTGACATCCTTTTATATATTTGTACATGGCTATCATATCACCCCGTAACCTCCTCTTCTCCAGGCTAAACATGCCCAGCTCCCTTAGCCGTTCCTCATAAGGCATCGTTTCCAGGCCTTTGACCATTTTGGTTGCCCTCCTCTGGACACGTTCGAGTTTGTCAGTGTCCTTCTTGAACTGTGGTGCCCAGAACTGGACACAGTACTCCAGGTGAGGTCTGACCAGAGCAGAATACAGTGGCACTATTACTTCCCTTGATCTAGATGCTATACTCCTATTGATGAGGCCCAGAATTGCATTGGCTTTTTTAGCTGCCGCGTTATTTCCAACTGATTCTTTAATCTGTGGTCTTGTAATGTTTATGCAAAACAGTTTATTTGAATTGAGCAACATGTAACCCTCTCTGGGACCATAGGCCCCAAATCTGCGGGGCTAAGCAAAGCTCAGCCCTGCCAAAGTATGCAGGGACAGGGCTGAGCCCCCCCAATCTTGAGGGGCAGGGCCCCACCAGGCCTCCCTGCAGTGGCAGAGGGCCACCCCAGGGCCTGCAGCCTCCACCCAACATGTGTGATGTCACAAACACGCGGCGAGTCCCCCCCCCCCCCATAATGTCACATGGAACTTGGCATCTCTGTCTGGGACTGTGTGGTGAAGGGTGGGCTGTATATGACTTCAAATAAAAAAATGTAACCCACCAGAGGCTGGGATTGAAAGACAGGAAATCAAATATTGTATCAGGCTACTAGTTTGATAAGCTATTACTTGTATAATGCCCAGAACACTTTAATATGAATACAAATAATTAATAACCATCAAGTGTCCTCATGTTTCTACATCTGGACACTACAAGAACATCTGGCCTAGTACGGCTACAATGTTCTTTTCCAGGCAGTCTTATCTTTCTTTCTTTTTCAAAATCCAATTTAGTTGATTGCCTTGATGCTATATTGACATGCATGACCTCCACATGCCAGCAATACTTTATTGACACTTTAGAACTTGGAATCTTATCTCTAGGCCTGGGGGAGTTAAGAAGTAGAGCTTGTACTACAAAGCATTAGCGTTATAGTCAAAGAAGGTCAGCTCAATAGTGAGACAAATAATGTAGATTAAAAAGTAATAACAAAGCTTGAGAAGAGAGATTAGAAAGAAGGCACATCACACTGAGGCAAATCATCTCAACTCATCTCAGGGCTTTAAATGACTATCATTGTGCCCTCAGCACAATACTAACTTAGATCACAGTATAGCATATGCAGCAAAAAATATTTCAGTTCAAGATCTCCTGGAAGAAAAGAGGTTATATCTGACTAGGGGCTTTCTAGCGAGGGTTGGGGGTATTGTGGCTTTCATCTTTAGCCAAACTTGAGTGTGCATTCTTACCCGGGATACAGTTAAGGAGCTGACAGGAAGCTTTCTTTCATAGGTTCTGTCCATCAGAGTGGCTAGATCAACTGTAGAAAGAAAATAAAAATCTTCAATTATCACTAATCATTTCTGAGAAGGAAAAAACCCCCAAAGAAGTATAAGCAAAGTTACTCAGCGATCTGCACTAAAAGACAGATAAAAGCATTTAATGTAAGCCTCCATTTTTAAATATCAGCCATGGAAATGTAATAACTTCTCCTCACTCCAGCCATAGGATTTGCTGCTAGCCTACTCATCAAAAGTTAGCACTGCCTTCTCAGGGAACAGTGGAAATGGAAGCTAGCCTTTCTTCCTACAACCATAGCTCTACGCCAGGCTTTCTCAAACTTGGGTCTCCAGCTGTTTGTGGACTACAGTTCCCATCATCCCTGACCACTGGTCCTGCTAGCTAGGGACGATGGGAGTTGTAGTCCAAGAACAGTTAGATACCCATGTCTGGGAAACCTTGCTATAGAAACACAGCATAAAGCTGCATAAACTAGAACTGTGGCTTTTGAATTGGACACAGACTTGAAACATGTATGTTCCTAAATTATCAGAATGAAAACTGAATCTGCACAATTTATTCCAGATGTAGACTTCTGATTTTCTATTTCTGAACTTTCAAACCCCTTGGGCAAATGCTGTTGAACTACCACTCTCATAAGCCATTCTTGCTGGGCTGATGGGCTTTGTAGTTCAGCAACATCAGGAGGGCTAAAGGCTCTCACACCTCCCACACAGTAAGCCCTACTAGAGCAGGGATGGGGAACCTGTGGTCCTCCGGATGATATTAGACTCCAGTTTCCATCAACCCTAGCCAGTATGGCCAATGGTCAGGGATGATGGGAGTTATGGTCCTGCAACATCAGCAAAGTAACAGGTTCCCCACCCCTGCAATACAGCTTCCTCATTGGTGCACAAGACTCTTTCTTTGGTAGAATCATAGATAATCTGGTCCAACCCCCTTCAATACAGGAACCTCAACTAAAGCATCCATGACAAATGACCGTCCAACCTCTGCTTAATAGCCTCCATGGAAGAAGAGTCCACAACCTCCCAAGGGAGACAATGCCACTGTCGAACAGCTCAAAAGCTTTTCCTGATGTAGTCTGATGTCTTCGCAAAGTACTTGGAAATCTTTGCCAGAGCTTTTGCTCCAGTATAAAGCATGCTCTGCTGACACACATTCATCAGCCCCATCGTGAAATGCTTCAAAAACAGGTAGTAGAAATCAGGTTAACCGAACAGAGTAGCAGTTCTGCCAGCAAAGCTTCAATTACTGTTCCAGTACTGGGAAAGAAATGAATAATTCATTTTGCATTTGCCTCTTTTATACACTTGCAGCATTCCTGCAAAAAAGATAGGACTTTCCCTTGATTCATCATATGTACTTGTTATTTAATATTTTAAACTCTAGTTGTCATTTAGTCAAACTGAGTCTCATGTGTCAGGTAATAATAATAATAATAATAATAATAATAATAATAATAATAATAATAATAATTTTATTATTTATACCCTGCCCATCTGGCTGGTTTTCCCAGAGAAGGCTCTCTGCCTGGTTCCCTGTAACCTTGCTTCTCGCAGAGAGGGAACCAGCAGAAGACCCTCGGAGGAGGACCTCAGTGTCCGGGCTGAACAATGGGGCAGGAAATGCTCCTTCAGGTATACTAGGCTGAGGCCTTTTAGGGCTTTAAAGGTCAGCACCAACACTTTGAATTATGCTCAGAAGTACACTGAGAGCCAGTGAAGATCCTTTAGGACTGGTGTTATGTGGTCTCGGCGGCCACTCCCAGTCACTAGTCTAACTGCTGCATTCTGGATTAGTTGTAGTTTCCAGTCACCTTCAAAGGTAGCCCCACATAGAGTGCATTGCAGTAGTCCAAGCAGCAGCAATGCACTCTGCGTGGGGTGCATGTACCACTCTGGGGAGACAGTCTGCAGGCAGGTATGGTCTTAGCGGGCGTACCAGATGGAGCTGGTAGACAGCTGCCCTGGACACAGAATTGACCTGCACCTCCATGGACAGCTGAGTCCAAAATGACTCCCAGGCTGCACACCTGGTCCTTCAGGAGCACAATCACCTCATTCAGGACCAGGGAGTCCCCCATACCTGCCCGCCCCCTGTCCCCCCAAAACAGTATTTCTGTCTTGTCAGGATTTAACCTCAATCTGTTAACCGCCATCCATCCTCCAACCTCCTCCAGACACTCACACAGGACCTTTATTGCCTTCACTGGTTCAGATTTGAAGGAGAGGTAGAGCTGGTTATCATCTCCATACTGGTGAATGCTCAACCCCCTTATGATCTCTCCCAGCGGCTTCATATGTTAAAAAGGAGGGGGGAGAGGATGGAGCCCTGAGGCACCCCACAAGTGAGAGCCCAGGGGTCTGAACACTCATGACCCCCCCAACACCACTTTCTGGACAGGAAGGAAGGATTGTAACCACTGTATAATAGTGCCCCCAGCTCCCAGCTCCTCTAGACAGTTCAGAAGGATGTCATGATCAATGGTGTCAAAGGCCACTGACAGATCCAGCAGAACCAGGAAACAGCTTTCACCTTGGTCCCTGGCCCACCAGAGATCATCGAACAATGTGACCAGGACAGTTTCAGTCCCATGATGAGGCCTGAATCCCGACTGGAAGGGATCCAAGCGGTCCACATCCTCCAGGCGTGCCTGGAGTTGTTCAGCGACCACCCGCTCGCTCACCTTGCCCAAGAATGGAAGATTTGAGACTGGACAATACTTGACCATATTGGTTAAGTGTCTGTCCCCAATATGAGCAACACTATTATAATCAGATGGTAAGTGGCAAACTCTTAATTTAGCTGGATCAGTTCTTTATCAGTATAGCAAGATTACAGGTGCCCTGGGTACAGAAGGCAAACAGTATCTCCTTTAAGGCAGTGCTTTTTCTCAAACGTGGGTCCCCAGCTGTTGTTGGACTACAACTCCCATCATCCTTAGCCAGCAGGACCAGCAGTCAGGAATGATGGGAGTTATAGTCTAACAAGTTTGATAAACACTGTTTTAAGGGCTAGGGAGAAAAACCTACTAAAAATAGACTTTGGGCACCTCTGGGTTGAACAGTTATAGGCCAGTTTCCAATCTCCCCTTTTCAGCGTGGGTTGTTACTCAGGAAAAAAATTGTCAATCTTTGTCTGGTGTCTATATTACCTATGGTGTACAAAATATATATATTGTCCTCCTACAAAGCCCAAATTACTGAAAGTGGTATGGAAATCTCATGAATCAGCCAGAGAAAGTCATAATTAATTCTAAATTCAGAGTGACATCCATCCAACAACTAAGCATAACCTTCCAAAATAATGAGATCTAAGATTGCCTATTGATGAAATTTGCTTTACCACTGTCTGTAGAGATTAAAATTCCCAGTCCCTATAAATGGGTTACTCAAGGGACTTGTAACTAGGAATAAAGCTTTTCAACTCCCAAAATTGCTGGTTCAAATCTGGCTCAGGTCAGCACCAATCAATGGAAGGTTATTGTATAATAGCTGCTTGGTATCCTCTTTGAAATAAATCAGTGGTCTCAAGTTTAGTTTCTAATGGACAGGAGGAAAAACCACTAGCACAAAGAGGTAACTGTAGATTGCAGGCAGTCTCCTTAAGGATGTCAGTACTCTCATATGGCATTCAGTATTTCAATATGTCAGTATCCTCATATGGCATTCAAAAAACCACTGTTAAGCAGTAAATATCTCCTATGGTTTAGACAAATAATGGGATTTTTATAAGTCACGTCCGAGGTCTTGTGCGACCTTCAATGCAACTTCTGGTTTTCTACTAGATGTTACGTTGGAGGCTTCGCAAGGCCTTGCATGCTGCCTGGGAGATCTTATCAGAGCCCCGCAGTGTGGGTGCTGAGCACCCAAAACAAAATTCTGTGGGCCCCTTAGAGCTGGCACCAGTGCTTGGCAAAGGGGCACAGCCCTCACCCCATTAAAAAGTAAAGAAGAACCCTGCTGGAACAGACAAAATGGCCTATCTAGCCCAGCATCCCGTTTCCCATAGTGGTCAACCAAATGCCTACAGGAACACAAAACATAAGGCCAATAGACATCTCCCTTTGTCGCTCCCCTTCTACCTGTATGCTGCATCTGCATCTGATTCTGGAGAAAGCATATAACTAGTAGCTGTTGACGACCAATGGCCCATCTAATAAAGCATCTTCTGGTCTTCACAGTGGCCAACGAGATGCCTATGAGGAGCTCAAAAGCAAGACCTGAGCTCAACAGCACTCTCCTCTCTTGCAATTTCCTGCAACTGGCATTCAGAAGCCTCTCACCATGAAGAAGAACATAGCCATTGTGGTCAGTAGCGACAAATAGCCTTATCCTCCATAAATGTGTCTAATTCTCTTTTAAAGCTATCCACATTGGCAACTATATCCTTGTGTCTGTGAAAAACTATTTCCCCCCCCATCCCGACTCTCCCTCCATTCAGTTTCACTGGATGACCCCAGGGTCTAATACAGTAGACACTCTGGTTGCGAACATGATCCATGCGGGAAGCACGTTCACAACCCACAGAGTTCACAACCCGCAGTACCTCGTCTGCGCACGTGTTGGTCACGATTCGGTGCTTCTGCGCATGCGCCAAAACCCGGAAGTAACCCGTTCCGGTACTTCCGGGTTTGGTGCGGTGCGCAACCCGAAATCACACAACCTGAAGTGTCTGTAACCCAAGGTATGACTGTATTATGAAGGAGGGAGAAAAACCTCTTTTTCTCCACTTTTTCCACATTAATTTCATGAAGCTTGCTTTATTCACTTGAAAGCATTTATAAACTGCTTAATATTTTTAAAACCTCTAAACATTGTACAACGTAAGAACAATAAAAAAAATCAAAACAAAAAAACACAACATAAAACTTGTAAAACAGTAATGTAAAGCTTTATAAAATCAGGAATTCAAACAATTTCTTTAAAAAACAAGGTCCTAACTTAAGGATCAGGGAAACCTTGGGCAAAAAAGTGTGTCTTTACGAGTTTCCATCCCCAACCTTCAATACTTGCATTTTTCTTTTTTATTAGACTAAAAAGGTAAAGGTAAAGGTACCCCTGCCCGTATGGGCCAGTCTTGACAGACTCTAGGGTTGTGCGCTCATCTCACTCTATAGGCCAGGAGCCAGTGCTGTCCGCAGACACTTCCGGGTCACGTGGCCAGTGTGACAAGCTGCATCTGGCGAGCCAGCGCAGCACACGGAACGCCGTTTACCTTCCCGCTGGTAAGCGGTCCCTATTTATCTACTTGCACCCAGGGGTGCTTTCGAACTGCTAGGTTCGCAGGCAGGCGCTGGGACCGAACGACGGGAGCACACCCCGCCGCGGGGATTCGAACCGCCGACCATGCGATCGGCAAGTCCTAGGCGCTGAGGTTTTACCCACAGCGCCACCCGCGTCCCTAAAAAGTCTTAGACTAAAAAGACCCAAACATTTCAATCTTTCATAGCCTAAGAATTGTTCTAGCCTTTTGTTTGTCCATTTCTGCACCTTTTTCTGCACATTCCATCCCCTTTGTCGACACCAAGCCCTGGAAAAATCCCATGATTAATGCTTGCATTCTTTCCCTTTTCAAAATTAATAAACCTGTTGTGTAATCACAAAGGTGTTTCAGAACCACAACCCATTTTAACATTCTTTTTTAAAGAGTGGTGAAATCCAGGCTTTAACTGCTATGTCTGTGAACAATAGAGCCTTTAAATGGTGCTAAGGGAAGATTCATCCACACCATGGACACTTCATGCGTGACTCCCCCACCCACCCACATGAGAAAATGTACAGCAGCTCCTGAAAATGGGAAGCCCCAGCAACATCCACACTTGTGTACATCACACAGCACCAACATTCCCCCCTTACAGAGAGATTATCTCCATCATGTGCAATTGTAATGCTTCCCTGAGTGACCATTGTTGCAAAACTAATGCATCCCTTGATTGAGAGTTGCCATCATCTGCAAAGACAGCACTGCCATCTTGTGATCAAATAACAGATAATGCAAGATTACTACTTGCAAACTGAAAAGCCCAGATTTTTTCAACCAAATACAGACAGGAATTGTTACATCCCACATCCAAGTATTTATCCCAGTCTCTATTTCTTTGACCTTCTGTCCATTCAGAATCCTGACTTGGCAGCTTGCCTCCTAGGATTTCTGCCCATTTTTCCTTCAAAGTTAGATGGTCAGCTATTTCTTCCTGCCTAAACCATTGATTAATGCATCATCTTTTAGCATTAATCCTGTGGGATTTGACTGTCCAGTATCACAAGGTTGTGTTTGCCTACCCCTGCAGGGCAGAGCCATTGATGAGGAGCTGGGATGTGGGATGTCATGATAGAACCATGGGGAAAGTTTTGTTACATGCTATGGGAAAGAGAAGAAATAACTTGCCATAGAAACGCCATTTGCAATGGCAGCCCCCGTTCTACTTTGAAAGGCTCTTGGATTCTGCAACCACAAATGTACATCTACACTGCACATTTAAAGCAGATTCAAACCACTTTAAACAGTCTGTGAACTGTAGCTTGTTAAGGGTCCTGAGAGTTGTTAGGAGACCCCTATACCCCTCACAGAGTTACCATTCCCAGTTTTTTAACAATCAATCCCTCTTCCAAATGAACTCTGGGACTGGTAACTGTGAGCAGAATAGGGGTCTCCTCTCAGCACCCTGAACACACTTTCGCTGGGGGAAGCCATGCCTCCTGAAAGATATACGATACTGCTTTAAACATATAGTGCAGATAGAGCCAAGGGCTAACATAACTTCTATTCCAGAATTTAATGTCTGGACATTTCTCCACTTCTTTCTCACATAACTAACCCTCAACAACTCAGGTGTCTTGCTCTAGGAAAACCTGGTGAAGACCACTAACAAATGTGAATTTACAGGGCCTTTTGGGAGGCCCATAGCAACATTTGACACTACGCTCCCACCCCAGCCCTCACACTGCCAGAGCCATGTGCTTCCTTCCCAAAGTCCAGCGCCTCTCTTATCTGGCTTTGGGAAGGCAGCATGAGGGCTGGGGAGCAGTCAGATTTTGGCTTTGCTGCCCCCACCCTGCACGACAAGGCAGTGTGCGACCTGCAGATTCTGCATCAAAGTACTCTTGTAGCCCACTTGGTATGAACAGCTGGACTGCCCTGATTTAGACAATAGTTCATCATTATTTTAGACTCCAAAGTATTTCCTTACCCAGGCTCTGCTGATCTTTTTCTCTTTGTTCCCATGTTGAACTGTCCACATATGCTGCTGAAAGAATACATCTTCTACCTAATAAAAAAAAAGAGTCAATAGCAATATATAAGCACTATCATTTAGAAAGGTTTCAATTTCTCTAAATGCACATTTTATTAGTCACCTTCTTTTTCAAACATTCAGTTCTCTAAATTAAATGCAATAAATTGCCATCATGCTTTGGAATCCAAACACTGTAGAACTGAGAACTCTGATCTCCCTGTCAGCTTTACTGAATATGGCTTTAGGGGGTGTCCTGCCACTACATCATAAATCAGACCTCCATAAAACACAGGCTGATCTTATAATTCATTGCATATTGCCTTGTTATTAACAGGAGTACATAAACATGATTCCCCATCTAAAAGGTGCTGATTAAAAGGTGAAATGCTAGTTCCTTTCAAGTAACGCAAAAGTGGAATCTGAAATCCATATGCCTACAGTTAATGCAAAATCTCTGTACTGCCAAGACTACAGTATTTATTCCAGCATTCCAAGGGAATGTTATATGTTAAACAGCATGGGGGATAATTATGAACCCTGACAAACCCCACATGGAAGGCTTCACGGGGCCAGAGCACTCCCCAAGCATTACCCTCTGGAAATGACCATCCAATTAGGAGTGGAACCACCGCAAAGCTGTGCCACCTACCCCTTCTGGACAGCTGCTCCAGAAACATACCATGGTAGATGATACTGAGAACTGCTGAGAGGCTGAGAATTAACAAGGACACATTTCCCGTCTCTGTCTCTCTCGACATAGGTTACCATATAGGGCGACCAAAGTAGTTTCGGTGTCAAAACCGTGTCTAAAGCCCAACTGAAATGGGTCTAAAATCAGTTTCCTCCAAGAGTGCCTGGATGTGGTCTGTGACCAGGTCATGCTCAAGAACCTTGCCCAAGAAGGAGAGATTGACAACTGGCTGGTAGTTACTTAGCTTTTCTGAATCCAGGGAGGGTTTCTTGAAGAGTAGTTTTACCACTGCCTCCTTCAAACAGACAGGGACCACCCCTCTTGCAAGGAAGCATTAATTGCCTCCTGGCCCAGCAGGCTGTCTTCCTCCCTGCTAGTTTTTCACAGCCAGTAGAGAGGGGGCTGTTTAGCCTTGGTGGGGCTGAAGAAGCCTACAGTTGCCCCACACCCTCAAACCACCTGATTAAAAAATGGTCTAGGTGTATATTTTAGGATCGTAGAGTAGGAAGTATGCTGCCTTCAGAAATAAATCTAGCGCTGGACAATGTACTTGATAGTCCATGCTCACTTGGTCCTCTTTAGTGTGCAAGAGGGTCAGACGAATGCAAAGGAGTCAAATGAGATTTGTAAACATAAACCTGACCGGGCAACCTAACTTCATTCCAACAGCACATTTTCCCATTCCCCCATTAAATTTGAATGCAGGAGTCAAGATAAGGCTCATTGCTGAAACACAAAATGTGCCCCTGAGCAAGCCCAACAACCATAATTCCAATGTCTCATTGCTTAAGATTTCACACTGCACTGGGTTTTCCTGGACATTTTGACAACATGTCTGAGGTGGTGAAACTCCAAATGTAGAATTTGAATGCTTGTACTCAATGTCATTCTGACATCTTAGATGTTCAATACACTTATTGCATTACAAATTAAAACCAGAGTAGAGGTTAAAACAAAGGCTCACTTTGTTCAAGGGAGGTGGGGAATGGGAAAACTCCAGCTTTCATCTTCAACCCTAGAGGGAAATACTGTACATTGTGGAAAGGTACTACAGAATGTTTGAGGATTCCACATCCTTTCTCTCTCTCATGAGGCAGTTAAGAAATGGAAGAGGGTGAAGTTGAAAACAGCTATTTTTCTCCCTTTCTGTGTCTCTTCTGGATATCTGGAGGGCACCAGGTTGGCAAAGGTATAAAATGATCAGGAAGGGCATAATAACCCCAAGCACATTTTTCTAACCTCCAGGTTCTCGGTGATTTTGACAATGACAGCATATATGTATATATGTGTGTACACACACACACACACACACACACACAGAGGGAGAGAGAGCGCAAGGGGGGAGGGCAACCAAGAGCCTTGATGGAAATGCCAAGTGGTCAACAGACAGATCATTTGACAGAGGAGGGAGAGATAACCCTCCTTCTCAGCTGACTGAAATGTATACAAGAGCACTTTGGCTAACTCTCAAAAAGGATGGTCAAATGAATGTGGTTCTCACACCAAAATGTTAGCCCGTACCCTTACATAAAAGGTCAACGTGGTAAAACGATGGGGGTCATAGCATCACAAAACTGTAGAGGTGGGGAAAGATCATTAAGGGTCATCTAGTCCAACCCCCTGCAGTGCAAGAATCCTTTTGACACAAAACAAAAAGCTGCCCCAGAAGTAACCTCAGGGCTCCACTGATAACCATGAATCCTTCGCATCGCTGGATGAATTCTCTGGCAGCTAACCCGGAAACCCTACGGGGAAAAAACTGTCACATATAAAACGGCAAAGGCTGTAGTGACACGAAAGTCGTTTAAACTCGGGCAGCCTCGTTCAGAGTCAGGCGCAGGAAGGTCAAACGAGGAGGCTGCTGCAAGCCTGACGCCCATGTGCTCCAATATCTGAGGGCACGGAGAACACATTCCGGGGCGTAGCCTGGCCTCACTCTGACCTCGCCTGCGCTGCGCTCGGGGTCCCTGGAGCTCGGTCCCCGAAAGACCCGCCTGGCGGCCCCACAGCCCACACCCACCTGCCGCAGCCCAGCTCCGAAGCGCAGCCTGCAACCCTCGCCTCAGGACGGGCGCCGCCATCTCGGCCCGCACCACCTCTTTGACGGGGGTGGAGGAGCCTAGGCGGCGCGCCGGCGCAACCGCTGGCGAGGCGCGAGAGATTCGGCGAGGGCGGGCCCTGCGCACCCCTCCTGCCGCGGCCTCTCTTGGTACGTTCCGGGGACAGAATGGCAGCGGCAGTGGGCAGTTCCAATGGAATCCTGCGAGAGACCGTCCGGCGCTGCATGCGAGGCACGCTCGTCGCGGCCGGCTGCCTGAGCTGCCCGCAAGGAGGTGCGTGAAGGGCGACAGGTGGGGAGGCTGCAAGGGGGAGAAAGGGACGCTATGGAACGCGCTGAGCCGACCTTGTAATCGGAGAACTGCATATCCCATCGTCCGCTGCGGCGCCACAAGCCTATGTTTTTTTACTGTGGCGGAACGGTGCACGCTGGGGGTTGTAGTCCCGAACGTGACGTCGCAGGAAAGGCCTGATGTGCTCAACCCAAGGTCCTTAGGATGTGGGAAGCTGCGTGGTTGCGCTCCGCGTGCTTCTCTCTTGTTTAATCACCTAGGGATGAATGTGGAACGCCCTAGGTGACAAAATAAAAAAATTCCTTCCAGTAGCACCTTAGAGACCAACTATGTTTGTTATTGGTATAAGCTTCTGTGTGCATGCATCTGAAGAAGTGTGCATGCACACGAAAGCTCATACCAATAACAAACGTAGTTGGTCTCTAAGGTGCTACTGGAAGGAATTTTTTTATTTTGTTTTGACTATGGCAGACCAACATGGCTACCTACCTGTAACTAGCCCTAGGTGACGACTGCACTGGAGCCTGTTGCGTGGAGTGTGTACAGCCTGTGAGATCCACAGAGATCTTCCATCAGAGAGAAAGTGAAAAGGCGCCAACAGGGATAGCCGCAAATAACTTAACCCAGCGTGTTTCGTATTTGAGAAGAGTTTTAACGCATTTGAAATAAATGCCTTTCCCAGTGAATTCAGAAGGGGACATTGTTCAGTGTTGGAGCAGGCTATTTTTCAAAAAAACCTCTGCATGCGCATAAGCATATTTAATTATTGCATTCGCTAGTTGCTGCCCATGAAACATCCTGAAGCAACTGAAAAGTAAAAAACATTTTCAAGGCTAGTATAGGATACATCGTCGTATCCAGTGTTAGCTGAAAAAGCCTGCTGAGCTAGTGGAGCAGCAGCATTGGCCATGACCTGATGGCTCAAAGGGAAGCTAATTATAGGTGTGCCTCCTTGGTCCATGATGGCCAGTCTGTGATATCTTTCTTTCAAACAGACAAGTTATTGAAATAGTTAACAGTTAGCAAGGGAATCCTCTAACTGGAGCAGGCCTACTTACCTTGCAGAAGAGGAGCTGCAGAGAGGGGTGCTTTTCAGCTGTGACTTTCAAAAGGCATGTACCATGAGGTGAAACATGGGCAAGGCAGGAGGTAAAAGTGAGGAAGGATAGGAAGGCATCAGTCAATATAAGTCTGCACCTGAGAAATAAAAATACAGAAAAGCAAACATATTTATTGTTACAGGTAGGTAGCTGTGTTGGTCTGCCGTACTCGAAACAAAATAAAAAATATAAAAATTCCTTCCAGTAGCACTTTAGAGACCAACTAAGTTTGTTATTGGTATGAGCTTTCGTGTGCATGCACACTTCTTCAGATATTCAGATATTTATTGTGCCATGTGCTTTTATGGGTTAGAACAGACCTTCTAAGCTCATCCAAATATTACAAGAGAACGTTTACAGTCATTGAGTAGAAGAATTTTATATCTGCATAAGGGATGTGAGTCCCCACCATTCTCCTTTACGTTAGTAGGTGAAAGTATGAGCATTTCTGAAACTGATATACAAAACATCCACTTTCTTTACACAGCCTAAGGTTTAAATAGATACTAATATTGAAACCTTAAATGTACTGTATGGTGTATTCTGAATATCTCTCTTTTCCTCCCTTTCATTTTCAGCTAAACGTTATTTGTTAACAGAAGATGTTTTGCAATTACATGCATTTCAGCAACATAAGTTGGAAGTGGGATATAAACTATATGGCGAGAAAGGTAAGCCCTTCAGGGAAATGTTGGTCTCCCAGGGTGAGAGGCTGGAAGGAGAAAGAAAAGATCCCAGGTGAGAGCTGGGAGGGGCTGCGACCTTCTGTGGGCGGTAACGACCTTTAAGAGGGGATTCTGTACTCTTATTTTTTGTAGCTGCTTTTGTTTTTAATTTACATTAGTTTTCTGTACTGTATCATGGAAAAAACCCTAATAAAAATCTTAAGAGAGAAAGAAAAAAGAAAGGTAGCCCTTTCATGTATACCAGAGGTGGGGAACCCGTAGCTCCCCAGATGCTGTGGGTCTACAACATCCTGAAAGCCTCCAATTCCCCACTCCTGATGTGTATGCTTTACTTAACCATTCACAAGTTTATGTTGCAAAGCTTAAAGGCAATCAGTGGTTTATCAGATACGGTTTTGCTAGTCATCACAGGCTCAGAGCAAAAGCCATATTGAGGCTTCTCATAGTTATTGTACATTGAGGAATTCTCTGGTGTTTGGTAATGCTCTCTGTCCTTTGCATAACTGGTGTATGCTCAAACGTCTCTTTATTTACATCTGTGTTTCCATCCCTTTATTTATTTATTAGGAGTATTTAAACATCACAGTAATACTGTAGTGTGGGGATGGGGAATCTGTGTCCCTCTAGGTATTTGTTCGACTCCAGCTTCCATCAGTCCCAGCCAGCAGGGCCAAATAGTCAGGGATGATGGGAATCGTAGTCCATCAACAGCTGGACTACATCCCTGCCAGAACAACATCAGACAATTAAAAAAAACAAACATGTTCTCAAAAGAGGGCATGTTTTTTGTGGGAAACTGCAGCTTCTATCTTTGTTTTGAGCAAATACTGTATTGGCCCGAATATAAGACACACCCGCAAATAAGTCACGCCTTTTAAATTAAAGGCTTATTTGCAGATGCAGCCCGCCTCCTGGCACTGCCACTCTGAACGGGGGATGGGAGGGCGGGCGGCACTGGCACTCAGTTCTGAGCGTGCTGTGCGCCCGCCTCCCAGCACTACCACCTCCCCTGTTCAGGGCAGTAGTGCCAGGAGATGGGCGCGCAGCGCTTGGTTCCATCTATATGCTGCACTTTAACTTTTCACAGTAGGAATTTGGGGAAATGTGTGGCTTATATTTGGGTCAATACGGTATGTGCTAAATGTCCTTTGTGGTTGGCTGGGGAGCAATGGTTCATCTCCCTCCTGGGTATAACCCAGGCACTAGGGTCCAGGCACTAGACTTGCCCCCAGTAGATGATCACTAAAGGTAAAGGGACCCCTGACCATTAGGTCCAGTCGTGGCCGACTCTGGGGTTGCGGCGCTCATCTCGCTTTATTGGCCGAGGTAGCCAGCGTACAGCTTCCGGGTCATGTGGCCAGCATGACTAAGCCGGTTCTGGCGAACCAGAGCAGCTCACGGAAACGCTGTTTAGCTTCCCACTGGAGCGGTACCTATTTATCTACTTGCACTTTGATGTGCTTTCAAACTGCTAGGTTGGCAGGAGCTGAGACCGAGCAACGGGAGCTCACCCTGTCGCGGGGATCTGAACCGCCGACCTTCTGATCGGCAAGCCCTAGGCTCTGTGGTTTAACCCACAGCGCCACCCGTGTCCCTAGATAATCACTACTTAAGGGCAAAGCTATTGCAATGTGACATGTGAGGGCAGAAGTTTTTGTGGGGGTGGGTGGGAAACCCAGTACGCTCTACAACTAATCCGGCCATGACTACCATAACTGGGATAAGGCATGCAAACTGACAGTATGATTTTTCTATATAACCTAAATACAAATAAATATATTCTATTAATTCTGTTTCAGACACATATTTCAAAACTATTGAAGACAAGTTAGCGAAAAATATGCTAATTCTCAGAGATGAATTGAAATTGTTGCTGCATTTGTGCCAGACAAAAGATGAAGTGGAAATAGTCAAGAGGGTGATATACAGGTAAAATTCAGAAGAAGATATTCTAGTTCCTTCTTTTGCATTTCCTTTAGTCTAGAATATCCTGGATCATGCTACAGTTTGTAGGGAACTTTGATCTTTTTAACAGGATCAGCCTTAATACAGACACTTCAAAGTTTTCAGTCCATGCCTGAGGTCATTGGGTTGTACTCAACATAGTACTAAAGTGGACTTTCCATCAGTGCAAAAGTTTGTACTTGTGCAACAGCATGATCTCCTCCCCCCTTGTACCCCTTAAAACCCTCCAGAACAAAATTGAGATGGCATAGGGTATGCATACAGGGATCCCAGGGTGCTGGCAGAAATATTTTGTTGACTAGTACCCACTGGGCAAATACATTTAAAGCTAAGTAAAGTAACATGATTTGCTCGTGGCTGCCTATCCAGGTTTGTCATCCTGAAATGCTGTTGCTGTGAAGCAAATGCAATTTTTATCATAAAGTTAATCAAGTTGATTAGGTTGAATCAGCCAATAGACGCCTCTGATGTCAATGAAGAACAGCAAATTGGGAACAGAATTACTGTTCAATCTGCAAGTAGATGTTGTGAAACACGAAATACTGACTAGAAGAAGATAATTAATTAGAATCCCGTGCCATCTTCCAAAATTAGTATTATGCCTATGACAGAGCAAAGGATTAATTCTGAACAGGGCTGGCCCACCCCTTCTTCCCAGGTGGGGAAGGAGGTGCCGTTTTGTTGTTCACCTCGGGTGCCAAAATGTTTTGGGCCTGATCTTGAAAGATATCATTTCTCCTCTTTGTTATGTTCCATCACATGGTAATTCTGTGCAGTGGCTCTGATCGGTTTTCTAGTCACATACAAGCAGGCAGCAAGTAACTCTGTGCATGTAGGTTCCTTTCATTTAAACTACCTTGTTTCTGCATTTATCTGCTCTTTAAAACTAGATTGACACACACACAACAAATTCCATGTCTTCTCTACAGGTACCATGCTGAGAACAAAAATGTGGCCTTTGGCGGTTTCAAATTTGGTCCTCTTTTTATGAGGCTGTGTTATGAAATGAATCTTGAAGCAACGGCACTGGAGCTCATCAAAGACCAG